TCCCGCGCGATCAGTCGAGCGACCAGTCGCTAGCGACCGGCGACCAGTCGCGCGACCGGTCACGCGACTGGTCGTGGACTATGAAAGATGCCACTCGTTGCACCGTTTCTGCTTCATTCCGCAATGACCTTTCGCCGCGGCGTCGCTATAGTCGCCAAGCGACCGTTTCCATTTAACTGCACCACACCCTTTTCTTACTGTTGAGCGAAAAAGCATCAAAGACATGCTAGCCCCCTTCTTCAGTAATTTCCATTTGAACCAAAGCCATAAGACCTCAGGGAAACAAGCTAATATCGACTCGAATATGACCTGTCCCAGCCACTGATTAAAAAAAGTTTATGATCGATAAAAACTCTATACAAAATAAAGTACAAAAAGACCTTCAATTTTATTGCATACATCAAAGAATAAATGTTAAAGTACATAGGATAAATTCGATTCATAGTATATCAAAGACAAGTAAAAAGCCGTAATCCCAGAGACGAAAAAAAAATATGGAGCATGTCATGATATTCCACCCGAATAGTTAAATAGCTTAGCTTTATACAATAGAAAAACAAATAATGGAGAAAAAGAAAACTATTAAAAACTATTAACGAGCACACATTTCTGCCTGTTCATAATATTTATTAGCCAATTTTCCTTTCATAGCCTCAATAGCAACTTCAGCGGCTTCCGTATACAAGTTGTAGGCTCGTTCAAAGTCTTGTGCCAAGCCGCATCCCCCTTCCTGGTACATCTGTGCTATCTTTGCCAATACTTCATACCGTGGAAGTGCCGCTCCTTCACTGCTGTCCTCGTCATTGTCGTCATTGAAACCAACAAGCTTTTCGTACCATTTTATTGCATCTGGATAACTGGGCTGGCCATTGGCACCCATCCTCCGCCCAGTTTCGTAGGCTTCGGCAACGAAGAGCATAGCTCCACGGTCACCCATTTCCGCAGCTGTTAGCATTAATTCGAAAGCGAATTCCTCATGATCATTGACTATTCCTTCCTCATCATCGTCTTTTGTCCAAATCTCATCGTCACCGATATCCTTCAAAAGATCATGAGGCAACTTGTAAGCCATTTGGGCGACGGTGATAATTGCCTCCAGTACACCACAGCGTCTGGCGATGTCGAGATGGAATAAAGCTGACTCTCTGTCGTACTTGACTTCATGTTCTTTTGAAGCTTCTTCAATTTCCGTATCGCCAAGAGCAAGCCGTTTGGCATCGTTGTCCTCTTCCGATAGAAACCGCCCCAATTCGTGATATCGTGCGAGATCAAGATGAATTTGTCCTAGAATTGACGCGTGCTGGGTGAGCCTCGAAGCCTCGGCTGCTTGTTGCAGTTTCTGTAGTTCCATAGCAGAAAGAATGCCAGCTGGTATAGATTTCTTCCGAGCCATGGCCCAAAACTCCTCCTTCTCGGTGTCACGGGTCACTCGCGACGAACTTCCCATTGAGCTGGATCCGAGAGAACTGCTGAAACTGTCGGAGCGAGAGCGCTCAGAGCGATCAGAACGCTCAACACTGAGAGAATGAAAGCCGACTTTCCGAACTGGACAAGGCTTATTGTCATCTTCATCGTCCTCATCCACGACATCGACAAGTGCCTCACAGGAAACATCCACAGTAGCCTGAGCCAGGCAATCTTCACAGATGCAGTCGTCATCATGCACTTTCACATCTGTATGTGATCCCAACTTGGAATCGCATACGGACGACATATGACTCCGCAACGAAATCGTACGCTGTCGAAGACACTCCATTGCATCCTCCTGAATGAGCTCCGGGACTATTGCCGAACAGGCACTCGCTTGATGAGAGAAGATAGTTGACTGGTTACGGGAATTAGAAGCTGATCCATCCAGTAAAGAATCCCGTTCCGAATCGGACAAGTCGAATTCCGTTAGGCACAGTGAGTGGCAAATATCGTTGCATAGATGGGAATGGAAAAATAAAGCCATTCCTCGGGTGCCTAGATTGCCATCACCGTAATCCGTCCCAACAACTGTATGGATCTGTGGATCAGTGTAAAGATCTCCAACTCCTTGAATATCCACAACAATCATTTGATGGCCGGATCTCTCGAAGGTGAAATGGGAAAATGCCTGAGGTGTTTTCCGGGCGATATCGGAAACGAAACCGGAATTCGAATTGTACTTGATATAGTCACCTTCAATGAAATGTTCAAGATGGAACAACGACTTAGATGGCAGGTCAATCATTTCCAAAACACACATTTGTACGATATCGATCTTCTTGGGAGGATCATATCGATTGTACTCTTCAGCCCAAAGTTTCGCGTCCATCTGTAGTTTAACGTCTTCGAAAAGAACCGAGCGATCCACTTGTTGGATATAACGTTTGGCCACATAGTTGTGAGCATATTTCCAATCACTTTGATGACTATTTGTTGGAAGTTTTTTCAAACGATAGCATTCACGCATTGCACCACGAGCAAATGGTTCAGGATTAAGACGTACTTCAACGATATCTTCAGTCCATGTTTTTCTAATAGATGAATAACGATAACGTTTTGCACGCATAATAGGAACTTCGCAAATAAAAAAATGCGACCATGGATCTTTTGTGATGTTACGCGCTTTACGTGCAGCAATACGCCACCTTTCCATAAGTAACGCAATATGATCACGTTTTGGTGGAGCCGCCGTATCCATCTTGTTTAATTCGTTCTCCGACACTGCATCATCGTTCGTGAGTACGCACAAGTTACGCCAGTCGGCACCATCACTCGATGAGGTAGTGGTACGACGACGGGGAATTTCGATCCCGACATCTTGCGGGCCCGTTCGCTGCAACATACACTCCGATTGAGTAGTGCCGACCGACGCAACCTAATTCTACAATTGCAAACTCATAAAAAAATTTGATTTACTTATCGAAATTAATACTTACCTCTTTTAAGAATCGTTCTGCTTTCTTCTCTTCCTCTGCAGTTGTTGTGGCATGCAACGCCTCGATTACTGAATCGCGATTCATTGCTCTAAACAGTAATCGGATGAGTTAATCGACATATTAGTACGAATCGGAAGGTAAACCGAAATCATATTGAGCTATTTGTTTGTGGATGGGCAGTCTCTTAGAAATTTGGATCGGGAAAGCTTGAAGAATCTACTTGACGTGAAAGAGGAAACAGAAATTTTCAGGAAATCGCAATCACCACCGAAAATCTCATTTGTCCCACAGAACACCCACCACTTCCTCTTTTTTTTNTTTTTTTTATCACAACCATATCCTAAAAGGGAAGGCAGCTCCAAAAAAAGGCCGCATCCCTTGCTACGAGGGACAACTTTTTTTTAGCGTTTTTGAGCCCCAAACTTACCCTCGTGCGAGAGATGAGAACGGATATTTATTAATTAGGCACGCGAAACTGCATAGTAATTACAGATGCATAAACAGCGGTGCGATAGCTAATTAAAAATTGACCAGCTTCATTCTTAAGGAAATCAAAGTAACAAAATCTTGAAAGTTGTTCCTCACAACGCAATTCCTTCCTCTCCCTCCCCCGCTCAAGCTTTTCAAGAGCAAAGTACACTCGATTTCCTGAGGAAGGGTAGACGCCATTAACAAGCCCGCTCCTTTCACAACACTTCGGTTAGCTCTCGGTTTCTAAGCGACATTTCCGAGTACTTGCAAACTACTTCTCTTCCACTTCAGATTGAGAGGCGCATGGGGCCGTCATATAGGGCTCAGCCTCAGCAAAAATTCACCATTGCAATTGACTTTTGCAAAGAGAGCAGCATTTAAGGCAATCAGAAAAGGCTTTGGGGCTTGAGATCCAAATCAAAGTGATATAAGCTAAATTTTGGTGGAATGGCTACATTCCCACTAAAAAGCAACTTTTATGTTTATTTAATAGAAACCGTTGATTAAATAAAATCAGATATGGAAGAAAATCAAGCCGTCTTCATCACAGGTTCAAAGCTGATGTGTCTTTAAAAGGCCTTCAGAATTGCGGCACCACTTATTCCCTCAAACCCCTGCAGATCAATAACTTTTACTAAAAGAACAAAACAAAGTTTCTGATAATAAATATTTTTCCAAGTAAACATAAAAAAGGAAAGAAAATACAACAATGAAAGAGAAATCTGACCTGTTGCGATCCTATTTTGAATTGTTTCTAGTTGATAGAACAGATGGTACCCTAAAAAACAAACAGTAATGAAGTCCTTCTAAAGTTTCGGGAGTAAGTTATGGGCTAGTGACTTGTTAAACCTAATAAACAACTTTTTCGAGCTAAAGTTTTTGAAAACTCGGAACATTAACGTGTTATACAAACGGAATCACAGCGTATGTACATCTTCATGAGTATTATGGAAATAAGTAGCTTTAAAAGACATGTTACAATGAATATCGAGTTACTGTTCGCCGGAGCCTAGTAAATAAATAAAACATTTAATCAATAGATAAATTTAAAAAAGTATGAATCTGGCAACTTGACCCGATGCTAGAAATCACAAACACATGAAAGCCAAAAGCCGTTGATATTGGCAACCGGGAAAAACTGATTAATTCATAAATTACAATATAGTCGCGGAAGCTACCATTTTTTATGAAACTGCACGTTCAAACCGCGAAACGACCAAAGCCACCCATTTTCTTCCCTACCCTCCTCATTTGCATTACTCTACTCTTGCATTTACTACTTAAGTTACTGACGGTATTCCTTACTCCTTGACTCGAAAAAAATCTTTTTTAACAAGTAAGGAAAAGTACTTTTCAGAGGTCGAAACATTTACACACTCAATACAACTCACCAATATTTGGTATGAGAGCTCCACAAAAAAAAACCGGTCTTAACTGCGGAAGGCAGCTTATGATAGAGACCCTAAAATACCAATATTTACAAAATTTGTTAATTACTAACAATGAAAACGATATAGCGATGCAGAATTAAACCACAGAGAAACTCAAAACACGTAGAAAGAACGATTAAAAGAAAACGAACGGAAAGGTACGAGTTCGACGAGGACAATTAGAGCTGCTCAATCAAGCAATCAAGGCTTCTCGGACGAGTTCGGTAAATTGAACTAATCGAGTAATCGTTAAACATACTGAGATTTTCGTATGAAATGCATTACCGCAATAAAGTGTATCAACATTCTCGGAGACAAAAATCATGAAACTGGTAAAAACGTGACATCACACTTATAATAAGTAATGCATTAGTAGTATTAGTAGAAGTGTTAGCAATAACATGCAATGAAATGCAAAACACCGTAAAACTGCCCTTACCAGCGCCATGAGGGCCGGCTAGTTGTTATAAATAGCTTAGGAAGAAGTCCAAGATGACCCCGTCCAAAAGCCTGAGAAGTGGCACCAGATCACACAAGAACGAGCAGTAGCTCAACATCGTAGAGAATGAGTAAAGATATCCCTCTCCCAAATGATCAAATAAGGCCTCCACCGTTGAAGACAACACTGAGAGCTTGTCCCTTGCGCGACTAGTTGTCTCTTCTCTCTTTGGAACGTGATAATAGCAATCAATTATTCCGAGCCCTCACGTAGCGCTATAGCATACACATATTTCACATGCCTTATACTGCATTGAATGAATTCGAAAACATTGAAACCGGCAGTTATGCCTTCAATATCATTCAAAGACAAAGAAAAGGTGTAAGCGACTTGAATTGTTCCAAAAACAAAAAAAAATAAATTCAAAGAAAGTAGGACATGGAGAAAATAATCTTTGTAAAACATGTGGGCCGCCAAATGATCGAAAGAAAACGATTGAAGTAAAACGGAAGATGTTATTCCACTGTGAGTTGTTAAAATGATGACATGCATGGGAAAGGCCGGTGTCCCCCCACTGTCATTAGGCCTATACCAGAAGGCATGGAATTCAATGCAGAGTGCCTTTTCCTCGCAATTAACCGTCATACACCTGTCACACTCAACAAAATGACAAAGTACTCACTGTTACTAAAGTTGACTAACACCAACACCTGCTTACTTACCAAAGAAATCTGATCTGCGCCGGCTAACTTCTAGAAAAATCCTAAACAGAAATTTCAAGCTCAAGTTGGCACCCACTTATTTAAGGCGTCATCCCAACTGCTTCATGCAGGAGCCTAACTGACGATACTCCGACGCATTATTTATGCGTTTACTTGGCGATAACTGCAGCTTGTGACGGAGGTGTTGTAGTGACAAGTGGCGCACTATCACACACGCATGGTCACGGGTTCGAATCTCGGATCGATGTCCGCCTAGGACGACCAATCCTTCCATCACTCCGGGGTTGGTCACTTGGTACCAGGTTTGACTGGGATGAAAAAAACAATGAGTTGTACGTCGGCTGGCTACCACAAATCATTGTATCGGCTCCATACGCATTCCAGACGCCACTACGATTCTAAATGGAAGTCGAATGCGGGGGCCCATCCCTCAGACGGGATTGATTAACGCCCAAATACCTAATCCTTTAACTACAGCTAGACCTCAGGAACGGGTCTTCTAAGCCCATGAATCAGAATCACACAAAATCAATACAAAAGTAAACTAACATGACTTCATTACGGTAGATATAGCGAAAGTGCAAGCTCTCAACTGTTGAGGTCATGATTAGTACACGTTAGTGCAGAAATGTATGGAAATTTTCGGAAGGGCCAGCTGATGCCACACCAGGTTTCCAAGTGCACTGCTCCATGCATAGGATATTGAGTGCTCAAAGTAAATAAAATTGTTAATAAAAGCACACAGCCGTTAGAATGTGGAAAGGGCTTTGTTCGTTATTGTGTTACTCTTTTTGCCCTTTAAATAGATTCGCTTACCAGGGAGGGATAGTCTACTTATCTTGGAACTTTGAATTCAGACCCAGATAATTCGATAGAGTTTTGAATGCTGTTTACGAAATTGGAAACTAAAACTGCAAAATGTTTCTCTTTAAAAAGTTATGGGGGCCCGAATTTTGCTCGACAGTAGTATCAATTGTCTAAAGAAATGTCAGAAAACGTTTAGAGAGCCTTTGATAAAATGAAAAAAACACTTTGCAAAAGTGCGGACAATGGCGGGGAAGGACCCCTCATTGTACGCCCACGAAGCGAGACCACTACCACTAGGTCCCGTGGGCGTTTGATGTGGAAGCGACGAGTTCGCAATTCCAATTGATACTACTGTCGAGCTAAATGCGGGCCCCCATAACTTTTTAAGGAAAACCATTTTGCAGTTTTAATTTCCATTTTCGTAAACAGCATTCANTTTTTTCATTTTATCAAAGGCTCTCTAAACGTTTTCTGACATTTCTTTAGACAATTGATACTACTGTCGAGCAAAATTCGGGCCCCCATAACTTTTTAAAGAGAAACATTTTGCAGTTTTAGTTTCCAATTTCGTAAACAGCATTCAAAACTCTATCGAATTATCTGGGTCTGAATTCAAAGTTCCAAGATAAGTAGACTACCCCTCCCTGGTTAGTTGTTTTTACAACTTGGAAAAGTCGAAGATACCGACTAAATTGGTGGGATTAACACTGATTATTGACGACTTGGTAATCGATATTGTATGAAGAGTATGACAATATAGAAGACTTGCAAAAAATGAATCAATGAATCAATATTACAAAATCGCCAGAAAAAGAATTGAGCTGATAGAAGGCTGCCCTGTGGAGCTTGGCATACGATAATCGCACTCATCACAAACCAATACGATGGAACTTCAACGAGTAAGTTTCGACCGAGTTTCCACAAAATTACCAGAAACTGTTTGAACAAGTTATTCTTGAACTAAATGGCGCTAGCCTAGCCTAAATGCGCTATGGAAAGTCCACGGAGTTATCGACTTCATCACAACTACTAGAGCC